CCCCGTACCTCCTCGCACTGTCCGCTATCAACCTAGCAGTAGTGGCAATATCCTACCAAGTAGTCCAGCCGTCCCGCACCATATAGGGCGAGTGGTACGTAAGGCTTCTCGGTGAATCTGAGTACTAGTAAGTCCTTAGGGATGACCAAGCCAGAATGTCTTTATCAGGGTTTCCATTTACTGTGCCACCACAGCACCTCCACCCCGGGCTCCTCCCATCATAGGTTCACACCCAGGGCCACCTCATATACCATTTACCCACCACAGGTATCCATTCTAGGGGTGCCCAGGTAGCACCCCATGGCAAGACTTGCCCCAGGCTCGTCGTATACTCCAACTTGGTCGACACAACCCTCACCCTCCACACACCCAAGTCACACATGCAGCACTCTCTCCAAAGTCCAGATAACTCCAGTTTCCACCACGCATCAATATAGTATATATAAGCGTAGAAGAAATAATAAGCAGTGAAATATAGCAGCGAGCGTGTGACTAGCCTAACAGCAGGGTGAGCAGGGGTAGGGTTGCGTCAAGGTAAAGGCCATCAAGAAAGCATACTACCATGCAAGTCCTATCATAGTGTGATTATAACAATAAAGTAAAGCATTAGCAGCTCTATATTAGCCATGCATAATAGGTGCTACGAGATTGGGTGGGATGTGGCACCTTTGGTGAAGTCATCTCCGTACTCCTCACGGTACTCTCGGTCCTCGTCCGTCTGGTTCCCCTCCGAGTCTGCAAACGATCGCATTATAGTCGCGTTAGCGACGTCTATAGAATAGCACAAAAAGCAATGAAAATTCAAAAGAGCCAAATACACTCAAACATGGGTTCATTGCGTAGAGCTCGATTTTAGATGAATTTTGGTCCTGGTCTTGTATTTTTCTGAGTTCGTATGAATTAGTTATGAATTTCCGAAGTTTAAATTATTTCTGAAAATGGGAAAAGGCTGAATTAATATCATGCTGACACGTGTCACGCTCCTGTTGGTCCACGTGGCATGCTGACATCAGTATGACGTCAGCATGACGTCATCAGAGCTAAACCGCGGCTGATAGGTGGGTCCCGTGGACGTCAGCATGATGTCATCATCTCGGTTGGTCACTAACAGGTGGGTCCGGTCAAACGGTCACTGACAGGTGGGGCTAGGTCAAAGTCAACATCAAGTCAACGATCAATGTACCACAGTGGTTGACATGTGGGCCAAGGCTGCTAACGTCAGCAGATGACATCATCGTGACGTCGCCTTGGCTGCGTCGATTTCTAACGTGTGGGTCCCGCGCGTCGTCATCACGACGTCAGCATGACGTCACCTCCTAACATGTGGGTCTAGAGTCTCTGTGTCGCTGACATGTGGGCCCCATCAACGGTCAACGTTGACGGGTCAACGGTCAACTAGGCCGGGTCCAAACTAGGCCGGTTGGGCCTGGATACGGGCTGGGCTTTGGCCCGCCACGTGGCGCGCGTGGTGCGGCCACGTCGTCTCACTGGGCCACTAACGGGCCGTAGTCTATGGGCGCAGGTGAGGCGCGGTTCATGGTGAACCCACATGCGCTGGTCCATAGACCGCAGAGCCGGTCTATGATGGACTTGGTCCACTTATTCCTTCCCAGGGTTCGGTTCACGTGCACCAAGTGCACGGACGTGTGGCCGGCGAAGGGAAAATCCCCATCTTCTTCCCCGGCGTGCTTCCGCCGGCGGTGAGCTCACCGGTGAGCCCCTCCAGCGGCGCGGGTGTGCAATTAAGGTGGGCAAAAGCTTGGCCTTGCCATGGTGGGTGCCCCGGTGGAGTTAACATGGTGGCCGGGCAGCTTCAGTTGGCTGGCGGTGGTCCTCGTACACCGGCGAGCGGCGGTGTGGTGGCTGTGGCGGTGGTACCGGGGATTGGTGGTGCGCACGAGCTCCCCGACGCTGCTACGGCCATGGCGAGCAAGTCGAAGGGGCTCCGAGAGCTCTCAACGCCTCCGACCACGGTGGTGGGGGCAAAGCGGAGGCGGCGGCGCTCCAACGAGATGCGGTGCGGCAACGTAGGGCTCCGGTGGGCTTCATCCTTGGCTAAGGTGAGCGCGGTGTGTCTCTCGTCATGGTGGAGCCAGTCGAGGTGTCAACGTCGCCTTTATCGCGATGTAGAAGACGTGGTGGTCTCGCCATGGTTGTGCTCTCGGCCATGGCGTGCAGGGTGGTTGTGTCGGTGTTCTCGAGCCGCTAGGGGTCGGTGAGGCCAGGCCTTGGGCTTGTGCGCGTGCGGTGCGTGTGCAGCGTGTCCAGGAGCAGGAATGCTCTGCCTCTGCGTCCCCTAGGTGCGGGAACGCGGTGGCGTTCATGGCGAGTACGGCTAGTGCGGTGAGCGGCGAACGATGTGGCTCACCGTAGGGCTCGTGGCGGTAGGATGGCGGTGCGGTGGCGAGGCGAGGCCGTGATGAGGCGATGCGATGCCGTCTTAAAAGCGGCTACGTCCCATGGTAGCGATCGGGCGGCGCTCCTGGCTCCGGCGAGGTCCATTTACGCAGCGGCTTCCTTCTCCTCCTTGCTTCTCCCTCCTCTCTCTCTCTCTCTCTCTCTCTTGGCTTGACGCTGTGTGGTGTTGTGCCACCAGCGGCGGCGGCAAACGGGCTGAGGGTTAGGGCTCACGGGCGTTGGCTTTTATAGCCGAGCTCCAAGGGCTCCAATGGCGGACGGTGATCGGGCGGTGGTGATGCGTGCGGCGCATCCAACGGCCCGCATGCTTGATAGCGTGGCCTGGCGTGAGGGGAAACGTCATGCTTCTTTTTGCGTGACCCCTGCCCTTTTACACCACCATTGGTCGGCCCTCGGTCGAGGAAGAGGTCGGCGTGGGGAGGAAGATGATCTGTTCTTTGGGGTGGGTGGCGGCGTGGGGTCCGGTTGGCAGCGGCTTGGTCGGTGAAGGCGTCTTTGGCGTGGGCGTCTCGTGGGCTGCCTTGGTGGGCGGCTTAGGCGAAGCCACAGTAGCGTCTTGCTGGGTGGAAGGCGGCGCGAGTTGGGCCGAACAGGCTGGGCTGCGAGGCCGAGCAGGCCTAGGTTGCTGCTGCTCCCCTCTCTCCTATTTCCTTTTCTTTTCTTTTTTTTTTTTTTTATTATGTTACACTTCTTTCATGTATATAAATCAAAGTGGCTTATTTCTCCTTTGGTATACTGTCCCATGGTGATAAACATTGGTCATAGTATATGTTGGGATATTAATCCGATGTTAGTACATTTGTTTATAAACAAATATTTGTTAGCTTTTATTAATCAACACATAAACCCAAATAAAATCTAAATCACCATGTTGAATATAATGCAACTTGATGTATGCTATGTGGTAAAATAAATTCAAGGTGATGGGGTGAGATACTTGTGCAAGTCATGTAGGTTTAGTTAGATTACGACTAATGCAACACTTAGGGTTAGCTCCTACAAATGTCACTCATCATCACATGGGGTTTTTGAGAAAAATTTTGTAGTTGGGGTTTTTGGTGTGTGGATTTTTGGGTTGTTACAGAGACGGGGTATGGCTCGACGGGGCGGCGACGGGCTCCTGCAAACCACGACGGCGACGTGTGAGAAACCAAGAGCGTGAAGGAGAAATAAAAATGGCTCTGCCAGCTCATAACCTGGACACAAGGCTCGGCAGCGGGTCTCGGACGGAGGAGATGCGACTGACGATGGACACCACGGCGGCGAGCGAAGCTGCTAGGGCTGGAGTGGCGCTGCGAGCTCAGAGTGCTGCGACAGGTGCGCTAGGGCGAGAAAAGGGTGCGGCGCACCTAGGACTCCCTTTTATAAAACCTACTCCCTCCGTCCAAAAAAAAATGCAATTCTAGCTTTGAACCTGGACAGTGCGCTTGTCCAGGTTCAAAGCTAGAATTGTGTTTTTTTTTTAGACAGAGGGAGTAGGCGTGGAGCACACGCTGAATAGAAGGAGATTCGGAGCTCGCGGTGGTGGGATTTCCCTCCTTGGCCGAGTCTGGCTCGGTTATGAGAGGTAGAAGATGACGCTGCCGAATGGGCCCAAGACTTCAGCAATTCAATGAGCGAGCCCCGGCTGTCAGCTGAACAGAGGGAGAAGAGGAGGGCGCGCTTGCGCGGCTTGGACCTGGAGTGCAGACTGGGCCTTTGGGCAGGCGAGGAAGGAGCGGGCCGGCTGGTCTGGGCCTTTCAACCTCAGTGGAGAGGGGGGGCGGGGCAGGACGAACGGGCCGAAAGGGAGAAAGGAGAGAGGTTTTCCTTTTATTTTCGTTTTCTTGTATTTCAAAGCCATTTTCAAATGTGATTTTAAATCAGTTTGAATTTGAGTCAAAACTAATAAGTACAATAAAACAAATGCAACAGCATGCACGAAAACATGTTTCTAACACTATGATGGATTTTAATTCAATGAAAATTTTTATTTTTCTATGTTTTTATGAGCACAACAATATAAAATTAAATTATTTTAACTCTATTTCGGAAGAAGCAGAACCTCCCGATGCGCACTCTCGTCCCCAGAACAGCAGACTACGCCAATCACTCTGGCCAGCGTGTTGCCCGCTATTCCCACGGTTTCAGCCTCACCAACGACCCCAGTGCCCCAGGAGGCACCCGAGGAAGCACTAGAGGGGGCGAAACCAGAGGAAAAAGGGGACGACCCGGCCGCAGAGGGCAGCTCCAAGGCTGAAATCTGAAGTGTCAACGACACCTTCCGTAATAAAGCTTGGGCCGGTCCTGAGTCGCTTAAAGGCCTAGAACGACAAAGCGAGACTCGACTGTGTCGTCAGCACGCCCGTTTGTTTATCATTTCCCTAAAAAAATGTGTTATTCACGTCTCGAATTGCTATGAATAAAGGTCTTGTGTCCTCGAAACCCAGGAACTACTTGGTCGCTCGGGGGCTAAGTTCTAATTCTACGCAATAATGAGTGTTTTCTCTCTCAATACCTTATACTGTTATACTAACACAAGGTATTCGGGGCTACAAAACCGATTCTGGAACACAAGTCGTCGGCGTGGAAACACTAACCGACTAAAGCAATCTCGAGTATGGCAACACTAGCCATGCAAGTTTCCGAAGCTCCCCAAACTCTTCAGGCAGCGATTGTAGGTTACCACATCTTGATACGTTCAGGTGTAGTAGCTCTTTGAGTTTATGAATGCCCTGCGGTAGCTCTTCAATATTTGAGCAGCCATGTAGGTCCAAATATTGTAGGTTGACAAATTCAGAAATGTAACTGGGAAGTTCAACAAGGCAAGTATTTTCAGAAAGGTTCAATGCTTGTAAACCATGCAATGAGCTCAGAGACTTAGGCAGCAGACCAGTTTGCATTCCAGATATATTTAAGAACTTTAACAGTCTCAAATTGCCGATAGAAGCAGGTAGATCAGAAATAGTACATGCACTCAAATCCAGCACACGTAAGAATTCAGCTCCCGTAAGAGACTTTAAAGTAGTCTGAACAATGCTGCACTCCTTAAAATGAAGAACTCTTGCTGTCCTAGGAATAGACCAATAAGATGGGGATGAGTCACATAAGTTTGAGAGCAACATGTATCGACAGTTGTCTATATTTGTAGGAGGATTTTGCTGCCTAGTGTCAAAGGCAATAACTTCGTCACCCGCAACTAATCTTGCAAGCTCATCAACCAAATCATGCATCTGGAATAATACACCTCGAGGTTTGCTATATCTTGCAGATGGCTGAAAAGTGAAATGTACCCATGTTAGTCAACTACCTTCTGCAGTTCAGACATATATTAACTAGCATGTATCTTATCAAAAAAACAAAAGTAGACATAAATTGGGCATGTATTTTAAGAGAAAAATGCTCTCTAAATCAAGGGGGGTAAAATATCTCTAAGAGAGGGTGACTAGACCACGTACAGATGAATCGGCGTGGATTGGCTTTCTTTTTTTTTGGGGGTTACGTAAATAGAACTTGGATCTCCAATAAGATAAGCAGTAGAAAAATGAAAGTCTTACAGTTGGGGACATTCCAGCTACATCCTGAAGAAAAGACATCTCGCGAAGATCCTCAAAGTATCTTTCTCCAGCTTGTTGTGCAGTGAACGATTCACCATGGAGCTGAACAAATCCGAGAGCAATCCACTGCTGAATCAAGCTACTCTTCTCTATATACCAGCCTTTGGGAAAAACAGCGCAATATGCAAAACAGAGCTTGAGATGACAAGACATGTATTGACAGCTAAGCTTCAGTGATGGTAGCACTTTCGTATCTTTGAGTAACCGTCCATCATTTCCATTTTCTGCCCAGATATCACTATCTAGTATAGCTTTCCATTCATTAGTTGTCCGGCAAAGGTATCCGAGAGAAATTGCTGCTAGTGGCATTCCTCTGCATTTCTAACTATCTGTCTTCCTATACTTTCCTTATGAACATCCACCTTTCCATGCGGAAATGCCTTTGCTCGGAACAACTCCCAACAGTAATTGTCCGGTAAAGCACGTAATTCTATTGTCAAACTCCCATTCATTAGCTTAGCAACTTTTACACTGCGTGTGGTTGCAATGATCTTGCTGCCTGCTTTAGCACCCCGCAGCAATGTCCTTAGTTTTTCCAGCTCATCTGGATCTTCTTCCCATACGTCATCGAGAACGATAAGAAACCGTTGCCCTTTTACAATAGTTTTCAATCGGTCGCGTGTAGCTTGCAAGGTGATACCAGCAGGGCTGCTTGATTTATCCAGTTGGGAGATGATAGATTGACCAATGGTCTTGATATCAAATTTTACAGAGACATAGACCCACGCATGGATTTCAAAGAACTGCCTTGTTCTATCATCGTTGAAGACCATCTGGGCAAGAGTAGTTTTACCTACTCCTGCAAAGCCAGAGATAAAAACAATGAGGCAGATTGAGTCATCTGTTTGCAGCATACTGATTAATCTTTCTTTTTCTTCCATCCTCCCAACAGGGACTTCATCAGCATCTGAGAATGTCTCCCGTTTCCTGATTACTTCTTCATCACTGTTGCTAGGATCTCTAGGAGCGTAGATCTAGCCGGGTACTTCATGTAAATGGGTAGCATGTCCTAGTACATGTTCTAGATAGAGATTAGAGGGAGGAGTGGAGGGACGTGTCGAACCTGACACCGCAGAGGAGGATCCGCTCGCGTCCGCCATGGAGTCGGTGTCTGCGCTAGGGCAGCGACGGTTGGGGAAGAGGACGGTGATGAGCAGTGGCGTATACTTCATAGTCAGCGGTTGGGGAAGGTCTCCATTTGAAATTCCTCAGTATTGTATACTTCATAGTCAGTAGGAATAGCTGATTTTTTAACTCCTTGAGATTTTTTAGGGCCTTCATATTTGGCACATCTTCTGTTTCAGGCTGTTATTGCTCCCCCTCATGTGTGGCAATTGGTTCTATAGGATCATGTAGAACAGGTTCCTCATCATCATTCATTGTTGCCACAGGCGGAATAACAACAGGTGCTGGCACCACGGTATCTTGCACTGTCGGTGCAGTGACAGCAGGTAGTGAGAAAAATGGCTCATGAATCATCGGAGTGGGCGCATACACCCGCTTCTCTTCAAGGTCAATTTCTCGAGCTACCATGCTCCCCCTCATCATTTCATCCTCTAGGAAGATAGCGTGTCTCGTTTCCATAAACTTTGTATGTCTGTCTGGACAGTAGAAACGAAAACCTTTTGATTTTTTTAGGTAGCCAATGAAATGACAACTTACTATTTTGGGATCTAGTTTTCCAATGTTTTGGTTAAATACTTTAGCCTCAGCAGGACTCCCCCACACACGTAAGTGGTTTAGTGAGGGTACTCTTTCTGTCCACAACTCATACGGTGTTTTGGGCACCGACTTACTCGGTACTATATTGAGAATATGAATGGTGGTTTTTAACGCTTTCATCCACAGGCTCAACGGTAAGGTGGAGTAACTTATCATACTGCGCATCATATCCATCAAGGTACGATTGCGCCTTTCAGCTACTCCACTCTGCTGAGGTTCGTCCGGTGTAGAATACTAGGCTACTATGCCATTCTTATGTAAGAACCTTGCAAAAGGTCCAGGAACTTGGCCATATAGGGTATGCCGACCGTAGTACTCCCTCCCATGGTCGGACCTGATTATCTTAATCTTTAAATTGTGTTGGTTTTCAACTTCTGCCTTAAATATCTTAAATTTATCCAATGTTTATGTTCTTTTTTTGATTGGATAAATATAGCCATAACGGGAGTAATCATCTGTGAATATTATGAACAAATTATAACCATCCACTCTTTATAGGAAACAGACCACAGATGTCTGTGTGAATAATCTGTAGAATTCATGCGCTTCGTTTGACATCTTTCTTAATTTTCTTTACATACTTTCCTTTTATGCATTCTCTGCATTGTTCTAAATCTGAGAGCTCTAATGGAGGAAGAATATCATTCTTAATTAGTCTTTCTATTCTCCTCCTCGAAATATAGCCTAAACGATAGTGCCATAATTTTGACAACGCATCGAGAGCTCTCTTTCGTTTTTTGTTTACATCCGCAGACGATGATACATTCTCATTGTCGCACGCAACGTTCTCATCATCACATACAACATTCACATCATCACGTAGTGATAACAAATAAAGCTCATTTTGTAAGATAGCAAGACCAACGCATGCATTATTAAATGTTATCTTACATTTGCCATTTTCAAAATGGCAATCATATCCATCATTGTCCAAGCATGAAACACTAATCAAGTTTATCTCTATAACGAGGGAACATAAAGAACATCTCTAAGTATAAGTGTGAAGCCATCAGCAAGCTCTAGAGAAAGATCGCCAACGGCTTCAACATCTGCTCGGATTCTATTTGCAACTTTAACGTGTCTTTCGCTTCTTTAAGTAGTCCTCGTCGAACGAAATCCCTATAAAGAATTAGCAACATGAACAGTTGCACCTGAGTCAATCCACCAAGTAGATTTTGAATACTGTACATACAGGGATTCATTTATGAACGTAATAATGTTCTCACCTTTCTTTGCCATGATCATCTTTAAGTAATCGGGACAATCTTTCTTATAATATCCCGTCTTCTTGCAATAGAGACATTGATCTTTCTCTACTATGAACTTATTTTGCTGAGGCTCATGTAGCATTGGATCCTTTCCCTTTGACTTTGAGGAGGAGTTAGTATTATTATTCTTTTTCTTATTGTCTTTCAGATAATTGATAGTGACATCATTGGCAGCTTTCATTCTCTCCTCCTCTTGCACACATATAGCCATGAGTCTCTCCATGTCCCATTTCTCGGGCTGTATGTTGTAGTTGACAACAAAAGTGTCAAACTCTTTTGGCAAGGAAGCAAAAATCAGATGAATAAGGAACTCTTCCTTGAGAGCTAGATCTATTGGTTTTAGCTTGGATGCCAAATTGCTCATCCTTAGTATGTGCTCTCTTAATCCACCATTACCTGAGTACCTCTCTGTCACCATTTGCTTTATCAGCTAGGTAGTATATGTCTTTGAAGAGCCAGTGAACTGACTCTTTATTCTTTCGAGGTACTAGGTGACGGTGTCACACTCTGGGATTGAGCCCACAATTACAGGCTCAATCATGTTCTTTATCACAGCCAAATATTTCTTGTTGGCAGTGACCCACTTCCTATGCTCAAGGTCATAGGACATTCTTTGGGATGCAAAATCCCTCTCTTTAGTTGCCAAAACGGCATTAGTCTCGTTTGTCTCCCTCACCGGTGCCACAGGCTTAGTGGGACACGGTGAGGTGACTACCCAGTCCACCTCAGCCAAGATGAAGGCCAGATCAATCTTTTTCTTCCACTCCGTATAGTTATCACCTTTGAGAGTGAGGATCTCTTTGATACAACCCATCAAGTTATATCCGTTTGAAAACACAATTCATATAGAGTGAGAACATAAATAATAACAATAACAATTGCATGCCTTAGTTCCAACATTGGTCAAAATTAAAACATACAATTGTCCTCTACACTAATAATACATCACCGTTGGGCAAAAATAGGATTAATGCATGACAAAACTCATCATAAATAACATTATAATATTGCCATTAATCAACGTTGGTCAAAATAATAACAATATTATAATCAATTAAAACATATCCATTTTTCAAAATTAAATTCTCCCGTTGGTTCGAATTTAATAATGAAAATAACATCTTTAAATACGCAGCGGAAAATAAATCTCAATTTAGTGAATTTTACCCACAGGAAAATTTTCTTTTCTATTTTCTTTAAGCCATTTATTCATTTTCCAGGAAATAATTTTTTACTGGAAAAAGGAAAAAAAACAAAAAACTGATTCATTTCAGCACTGTTCATTCGACCCAGCCGGCAAAACGGCCCGGCCCAACTCCGTTGACGCGCACGCTGTGCCTCCCGCCCGCGCGCTCTCGCCTGGGCTGATTGCTGGCCTGATCATGCTCATTCGTTCATCCAGCATCGGACAGACGCGCGTCTACTTCGGGATATCAAAACCCCCGTCGGTCGCCGTTCGCAAACCCTAATCATCATTTTCTTCTTTGCTCTCTCTCGTCGCCACTCTCCTCCCTGCAGCACAGCCGTAGTCCGAGCGAGTCGAGCGGGCAAAACGGTGGAGTGATGGCGCCGTCGCCGGCCCCCTCGCTGGCGTGCGCGCTCCCCAGCGGGTGAGCGCGCCGCCGTCGAGTGGCCTAGCCGCGGCGCCCCTTTGGCTGGAGCCCGGCGAGCAGCGCCCCTGGCTCGGCCTTCTTCTCCCCGCGCACCGGCAAGGCAGCAGCGCTACGCAGCGGCGAGGTTGGCCTCCCCTTCCCCAACATCCCCCTCTGATTAGCTTCTTTCTTTTATTCTTCTCGGATTCAACCGATTGGGGATCTAGAGTTAGGGTTTCTTTTATTGTTAGGGTTTCACTGTTTATCTTCCTCGTGAAGTCTTCACGGGTTTAGGGTTTGGCTCTTACGTTCTTAAGGCCGAAACCCTCTTCTTCTTCTCCTTTCCTCAACCCAGTTAGGGTTAGGGTTCAACCGAACCCTTTGCCTTCTCAGATCCGAACCTGATCTGACCTTTCTTTCTTTTCTAACACCTCTGCCGAGATCTACACCTAAGGGACCGGCTTTGATACCATTGTTGAAGCTATAGGATCTCTAGGAGCGTAGATCTAGCCGAGTACTTCATGTAAATGGGTAGCATGTCCTAGTACATGTTCTAGACAGAGATTAGAGGGAGGAGTGGAGGGACATGTCGAACCTGACACCGTAGAGGAGGATCCGCTCGTGTCCGCCATGGAGTCAGTGTCTGCGCTAGGGCAGCGACGGTTGGGGAAGAGGACGGTGATGAGCAGTGGCGAGCGGCGGTGAAGACCGGTGGCAGTGCAGTGTAGTCCGGTGTCGTTGGAGCCCTTTGGTGTAGATGTAGAGGCGGCGTGGCTGGTGGCTTTCCGTCACTGGCTGCGCCCCTCTAGATCAGATTAGGGTTTATGGATTTCGGTGGGGAGCTCGGCTCAGGTGAACCTCGCGACTTGAGCCGCTGGCCCCCACCTCTATTTATTGCGCAGTGTGACAGGGGCCCTCTAGCCATAGTGGGCTGGGCGCCCCCGATCAGGGCGCGGATCAAAGGTCCAACTGGGCCGTTGGGCCTAGTTTAGGATTAGAGATCAACCTAACACTATGAAGTTGAATTTATTCTGAAGATCTACTATCTCCTCTATGGTTTCCCTAACACTATGAAGTTGAATTTATTCTAAAGATCTACTATCTCCTCTATGGTTTCCCTCATTCTTTTCATTTTATGAGGCATCTTCAACTTTTCAAAGCATAAAACTAACCCCTGTTGTCATTTGTCAA